CAGTCAGGATCAGAAAACGAGAGTGCTACTCCAAACGAACCAGCTTCAAGCTCAGCTGGGACTTTCTTAATGTCTCATACAGGAGTAGAGGAAAAAGAGGAAGCTAAGAGGAGAACGAGACGGAAACCACCTGCACGTAGAGGAGAGGAAAGCGAAGAAGTAGCACGTCAGCCGAAACAGCAAGTAGCAGCAGAAGTGCGACCAAGTGATGCTGCTGAAGTGCGGCGGTCGAGTAGCTCTTCCTCGGGAAGACCAGTGAAGTTGAAGCGTCCCAAAACACCTTCGTCACGACACTCGTCATCGAGAAAAGCACGGCAGCGAGAAGCGGGAGAATCCGTACCTTCGGGCTCTGTGCACATGTTGGTGGAGCGCATACACGACAATCCGTTCATCTTAGAAACGCAGTCCAAACGAGAACACCTGCTGCAAAACGCCTCGCTGCAACAGCTTGCCGGAATTGAGGATGCGCTGCAGCAACCAAGTCTAATAAGCGAGCCAGATAAAAGCAGGAGCCGCTACGAGCGTCGCAAATAGATGAAAAGGTACTTCTTAAACATTTCTCTTCCAAAACTGCAATTGTCGTGTTTGGCATCGCACCCAGCTAGCGAACTGACCCACTGCAAGATTCGCGCATTCATAAACGAAAAGTTACACAAAAAGTGCAAAAAATGGGATAAGGAGAAGACTATGCTTAGGAATAGAAAATAAGGGACGAGATGAAAGGGGATTGGGTAAGAATGACGACAGGGGCCGTAGATAGGACCGAAAAGGAGGAAATTAAAAAAAGAAATATTTCAATCGTTTACAGGTGTACCAAAACTGCTCGGACTATAGGGATGCGTAATCCCCGCTAGTGTGTTACTAGGATGCTTTCACACGTCGACCACAACTATGTCAGACCTTTGATCCTGAGTTACACATCTTTTTTAGTACCCAGTCACCTGCTCTGTCTATCTGCACCACTTCTTGGGTCGCCCAAATGGTCGTTTACTTCCCCGTGAGCACCACTCACTAATGCGCATTATCCACCGGTTGTCGACAGAGTGAGCAACAAGTCCCGCCCATTGAATTTTTCACTCTCGCGTGCAAGCAACGATATTCTGAACGCTACTCATCTGATGGAGAGTCTGATTGTTTACTGCGGTAGCGGAGAGGGAGACTATGTATCCTTCACTTCATCGTCCTCCTCCATCACTGTCAGCGCTCGTTATTCAGCTTAGAGATGTATTATACTAGAATTTAAGGAAGTAGCGCTAAACTGTAATTAATTAACTGGACAAGAATGTTTCGGTCCCTGAAGTCAAATACATTTCCGTTGAGCACCACAACTGGACCTCGTCAGTACTACGACAATGGCTCGAAATTATTCCCAGTAAAATATCTGCCAAGGCTATAGAGCAGAGAACAGTGCTTGAAACTGGGTAATAATGAGAAAAGCACTATATTTAAAACTGGAAAAGAGGGATTGAGGAGGGCTGCGCATAAGACTGAAAAAGCCTCTTTTAAGTGGTTTTGCAGCGCTGCAACATGTGCTGTACAAGGAAAAGAGCAGCCAAGCGGATGTTACAGCACGAACGGAGCAGTGCTGCATCTTGCATCACCAAGTGGTACTTCACAGGCATTATCCAATTTGGCAGCCTTATTC